GAGGAAGAGTGATGGTGAACCCGGAGGTGACCTCAGCGTTGGTAAATTATGAGTTGAGGAAGAGTGATGGTGAACCCTCCGAGAAGACATCGGGAGATGCATTAGCAGTTCAAGGCCGTGATCCAAACCGCCACCAGTTCAACCGCTCAAAATCAAAGAATAGAGGTTCCCATAAGATGTTGGTAGAAATTAATGTCGGTATTATAAAGAAGAAGGACATTAGAAGATTGTCTGTCCAAAGTGGAAGGAAAAAGCCGAGAAGAACATCGGGAAAGCTGTACAAGCTTCAAAAGTGAATGTTGCAAAAGCTATTGATGAACATTCAGAGTCAGATTCTTCAGACTATTCGTACCCTGCACTACCGTCAGTTTGCTATGCCAACTCCACGGAATGGATGTTGGATTCAAGAGCCACATATCACATATGCCCTAGGAGGGATTAGTTCTCTAGCTTTGAGAAGCTGGAAAGAAGGGATGTCGTGCTTATGGGAAATGACCACATATGTCTTATTAGTGGTATTGGTTCAGTCCGGATTAGGATGCATGACAGAGTGGTGAGGGAATTAAAATAAATGAGGTTCGTACTGTAGTTGACGAAGAACATCATTTCTCTTGGTACTTTGAAGGCAGCTGGTTATCGGGTGACTTTAGAGGATGCTACATCGAATGTCATGAAGGGTTCTATGGTGGTGATGTGAGGAGTCAGGGAAAACTTCTTATACTACTTAAAGGGAAAGACAATTACAGGGGGGCTGGCAGCTTCTATCACTATAGAGGAGGATACTACCATATTATGGCACATGAGATTAGGACACACATGAGATAAGTTCCTGTAGTCATTGGCGAAATAGGGGCTATTGAAAGGTGCTAAGACCTACAAGATGGAGCTGTGTGAGCATTGTGTACTTGGGAAGAAAACTAGAGTGAAGTTTGACACCGCTATTCACAATACCCAAGATACATTGGATTACATTCACATAGATGTTTGGGGTCCTTCCAAGAACACATCACCTGGTGGGGCCAACTATTTTCTCACTTTCATTGATGACTATTCCAGGAGGAATTGTGTATACCCTATGAAGCATAAACATGAGGTCCTGGATATTCTTGTGGAGTGGAAAAAGAAAATGGAGCTGTAGACATGTAGAAATGTGAAGACTCTATGTACAGATAACAGTGGAGAGTATAAGAGTGATCCGTTTCTACAGTTTTTCCTAGATCATTGCATTAGGTGACACTTCACAGTTCGAGAGACACCGCAACAGAACGGAATGGCTGAGAGATTGAACCGTACTTTGCTAGAGAAGGAGCGATGTATGATGACACAGAGTGGATTGCCTAGATCCTTTTGGGCCGAGGCGTTGGATTATGCGAGCCATCTTGTGAATAGGTTACCGTGCACTACGATACAGGGGAAGACTCCGTTGGAACGTTGGTCTGGTTCGGTAGCTAGTGACTATGAGTCACTTCGGATATTTGGGTGTCTTGCTTATTACCATGTCAGTAATGGTAAATTGAATCCGAGGGTGAGGAAAGCAGTCTTTGTGGGATTTAGAGATGGAGTAAAGGCTTCAAGTTATGGGATCCACAGGACAAGAAGATAGTTATTAGCATGGATGTCACATTTGACGAGGCTACATGTGAAGCCTCAAGTTCCTCAGCAGGTGGAGGAAGACCAGATTTAGGAGATATCACAACAAGTGGAGGATGATGTGACTCTACTCACTCCAGAGAACATTGTATCCATCGAGGCTCCTACAGATGTGACACTGGGAGGAGATAGGATGACAGTCGGGCAGATAGAGGATACAATGGATTGTGAGACTCGGGAGCAGTGACATGTTCAGAAGTCTATTGCAGCGAATAGACCTAGAAGGGTGATTCATCGACCCGCTAGGTATAATGATGTCATGGTTGCATATACATTATCAGTGGAGGTTGTTGATAAAATGATTCCATCCACGTTCAGGGAGGCAGAGTCTAGCCACGATTTGATCAGGTGGAGGAAGCTATGAAGGAGGAGATGTGATCTCTTCAGAAGAACGATACTTGGGAACTTGCAAAGCTACCTAAGGTTAAGAAAGCTATTGGTTGCAAGTGGGTATATGCGAAGAAGGAGGGATCTTCTATTGGGGACATTCGGTTCAAAGACAGATTGGTTGCCAAGGGATATACATAGCTTAAGGGCATTGATTATAACGAGGTATTTTCACCCGTTGTGAAGCATTCGTCAATTCAGATTTTATTGGCATTGGTGGCACAGCTGGATTTGGATTTGGTTCAGATGGATGTGAAGATAGCCTTTCTACATGGAGATTTAGATGAGGAGATCTACATGACATAATCCTTAGGATTTAAAGCTGTAGGAAAAGAAGATTTGGTTTGCAAGCTGAAGAAGTATCTTTATGGATTAAAGCAATCGCCATGATAGTGGTACAAGAGATTCGACAGCTTCATGATTGGTCAAGGGGTACACAAGGAGCCTATATGACCCATGTGTTTACATGCACAAGCTACAGGATGGTGAGCACATATATTTACTTTTATATATTAACGATATGCTTATTGCTTCCAGGAATTCTTCGTCTATTCAAAAGTTAAAAGAGGAGCTGTCATCTGAGTTCGAGATGAAGGATCTTAGAGAAGCAAAGAAGATATTGGGTATGGAGATTGAGAGAGACAGGGTGAAGGGGAGATTGAAGATTACACAGAAGAGCTATTTGCATAAGATATTGAAGAAATTTAGTTTTGATGGTAATGCAAAAGCAGTTAGCACTCCATTGGCTCCCCACTCCAAGCTTTCAGCTAGTATGTCGCATGTTTTAGTTAAGGACAGAGATTATATGTCTAAGATCCTATATGCCAGTGTAGTAGGTAGCTTGATGTATACGATGGTGTATACGAGGCCAGATTTGTCACAGGCCGTGAGCATGGTATAGAGGTACATGCACGATCTCGGGAAGGGTCATTGAGAGGCTACGATATGTTAAAGGCACCGTGGATGTTGGATTGATTTTCCAGAAGGATGAGAAGAATGGGCAGGATCGTATTGGTTATGTGGATTCAGATTATATTGGAGATCTTGACAAGTACCGGTCTACTTCAGGATATGTGTTTACATTGGCAGGAGCACCGGTACATTAGAGATGTATACTTCAGTCCATAGTGGCTCTCTCTACTACAGAGACGAAGTATATGGCGGTGACTGAAGCTGTTAAGGAGGCTTTGTGGTTACGTGGATTGTTGAAGGGCTTGGGGATTGCACAGGAAACCATTCAGGTGCATTGTGATAGCATATCAGCTATCTATTTGACAAAAAACCAGGTTTATCATTCACGCACAAAGCACATTGATATCAGATTCCACTTTGTTCGTGATGTCTTGGATGAAGGAGACGTCATGTTGGAGAAGATCCACACGAAGGATAATCATGCGGATATGTTGACCAAAGTTATTTCAGGTGTTAAGTTTGGTCATTGTTTGGAGCTTTTAATCATTCTTTGGTGTTGAGGCCTTTGGAAGCCATTTGGGGGAACTACGTGAATGCTTGATTCCTTGGATAAGAGGATACATAGGTAGTCATTTATGATGCAGCCGATTTAGGAGTGGATAGCGACGTTTGAAGTTTGTTCGCATTCTCATTTGGGTTCTCGACTTGTTATGGATGGAGTCCGTTGTCGTGAATTGTTTCACTTCGTAGTGGACGCAACAAGTGAGACATTTGGTTTGGTTGGTGTTGGCTCAGTTTTAGGAAAACTTCGCCGATGTGGAGAATTGTGAATGCGGATTGATTATGGGGGCCACCACGTGAAAATATCACATTCACATGATGTTAACGCGTGCAGAAAAAAAGGAAGCAGGGCCCACCCGATTCGATTCAAAGCTATAAATATAGATTTGAATGTGCCCTAGATTAGTGTGTGCAGGAAAAAAAACTGCGGTTGATTTTTTGAGCAGAGAAAGAAAGCGGCGGCGGATTCGTGGGCACAAGGTTTTTTTTCTGGCCGTGGCAAGTGGCAGAGAAGAAAATAAGTGCAAAACAGATTGTTTTTAGGTTGTATTTCGGGAAGAAGTACAGAGGTGTCATCTGTTTAAGAGGAGATATTTGTGAGAGATTTGATAGCTTGTTTGAGAGTTTAGGTTGTGTGATTGTAAATCCTAGTTGTATTCTCTCCCTCTAATAGTAGATCCCCCCCCCCCCACCCCCCCCCCCTCCTTGCTCCATGGATGTAGGCTATTTGCCGAACAACGTAAAATTCATTGTCTTGCTGTGATTTGTAATAGCTTGTAGATTTCATCGACAAGTCAGTCCTAGAACTGATGAGAGGAAGAGCTAATATCCCACTTTGTTGAGATATTTTGCTTTCGGTTCTTGTTTCCTTTGTGAAACGGGAATTTCGTTGTGATCTAATCTCTTGTAGTGTACCTTGCGCACCGGAGGTGCTGCCGAAATTTCCGCTGCGCACAACAAAAGGCATGTATTTATGGGATTGAAACTATATATAAAAGCAATCAAGACTCCTAACCCGAACAAGATCCCGAAAACACAAAACAAATCTGAAAATAGTCTGAGGACCGGTCGACCAGTAGGGGTCCTGCCAGAGACACCTAATGTCTCCTGACCGGTACATTACGCGTTCTTTCATCCTTTCTTGATTCTTTCTATATCTTCCAAGCTGAAATGCAAGACTATTTCCAACATGAACCATAACTTAAAATTTTCAAGTACCGACAAGAGAAGAGTTAACAGAATGCTTGTTTGTTATGTTAAAGGTCACAGACCCAAGGGACTATAACGACAATTACGGTTAGAAAAAGCTTTTTCCCCAACAAAAAAAGAGATCGAGTTAACAGCTATCGAAGGTTATTCCTCCATCCTCATGCACTCTGTCAAAATTAGTTACTCTATCAATAAATTTCGAAAAAAAAATAGATTAAAAAAAATTTAATTCAGGCAGGCTAGGCATCCGTAAATCTTCGTTGCAACAGAACACTACCGACCTGGAAAAATCCCCACTCTTCACATGCAAATTTCAGCTTGGTGGCTTCGGCTTCAAAGGATGCAAGATCCTGAAGCCTCCCAAGATCGACGATGGGGATCTCGTCATCGACAGTACCATGCAGGTCAGACACAACATCAGATCTTATGTACCTCTGTGGAATCTCGGTCAGTTCCTTCGAAGCAGCAAGAGCCTGTACGTTTTCAACTGGAAGTGATCCACCCCACCGCTGCAATGGCTTCACATCACCGTTCACCTCCATTTACTCGTCTTTAGTAAATTGATTATTTCTCCACTGGCCGGCCTCTTTTCATTAGTGTTTTGTATAACTTCATCAGCTAACGATGAAGCTTATATCCCAGACCTCAGCTTTGGTAGTTATCAATGATTTGTAGAATACGACGACAAATAAATAAACAAAAGGGATGCACAAAAGTCTCAAGCACAAGTTGCCGGGAAATCTCAATCAGAAAGTGAAACACTTGTTCGTTAGCAGGATAATTGACCTCACATTCATAAATGAATGAAAAAAAAAAGTTCCAAATGAATAGCAGACAGCAGGCTTTGGGACTCTGATATGGACAATGTAGCCAGTAGTTTTATATCCCATTTCATTTCTTCAACGTATCGGAAAGATTTTGCCAAATAACTCCTTCCTTTTGTTTTATATGGCTATAGATGTGATATGGTGCTGATTTTATGCTAGAAATGGTTGGCCAAATCAACCAAATGATTAATGTGTATAATGGGTGATAATGGGCCATTAGTGGAGAATTAATACGGGTCATTATCAGAATTTAAATTAGGGCAATGAATGGCCTTAATTTTAGTTAATGGGAAAAAATAATTAGGCTGATTTTGGGGTAGAGATGATGGGGAAGAATAGCCTCTATAAAGAGTGGTAAGCAAATGAGTTAACTTTTTTTTAACTTGGCAGGATATGGTAACAACCAAATTGTAACGTGCAAAAATGGAGTTGAGCTCATCATGGGCAAACAGTTTGGATTATGATGTCAACAGTGAATATGTATTTCAAGTTGGAGCTGGCAAGATTGATTACTTCCTAGTTTACTTCCTCAAATAATTTATTTTTTGTCGCAGCAAAACTTTACAGAATATTTCATTCTTCTTTTTTTGTAACTTTTTATGTGGTCAAATTGTGAGCACGTGGGGGGACCACGTGATTAGATTGGCTGGGGAAAACAACCGCGTGAGGAGATGGAAGTTCACGTGAAGCAAGTGATTGAGTAGGGGCCACATCTATAGCTTCATTTGTTTTTCGTTTAGCAGGCCCACCCGAAAGGAACATCCTATTAATACCCTAGAGCTCCTAGGTTTTCGTGTGCAGAGGCGGTGAAAAAGGGCAGCAGCAAGGTGGATTCCCTTTTTTTTGGCGGCTTTGTTTCTTGGAGAAAACGCAGCAAAGAAAAGAGAAGAATAGGGATTTGTGTAGCTTTGGAGAAAACGCAGCAAAGAAAAGAGAAGAATAGGGATTTGTGTAGCTTTGGTGAGAGTATTTGTGTGTGAGAGAGATAATTGTGTGAGGGTTTGATTGAGTGATTGTAAACCCTAGTTGTATCTCTCCCTCTAATAGTAGATCTCCCCCTCCTTGCCCCGTGGACGTAGGCAGTTTGCCGAACCACGTAAAATTGATTGTTTGAGTTTGTGGTCATTGTAATAGTTTTTAGGATCCCTCGACGCGCAGTCCTAGAGCTGACGAGAGGAAGAGCAAATATTCCACTTTGATGGGATATTAGTCTTCAGATTCTTGTTCCCTTTGAGAAACAAGAATTCTTATCGATCTTTCTCTCATATTGTGCACCAGAAACTCTGCCAAAATTTCCGCTGCGCACAACAAGTGGTATCAGAGCCTAGATTCCAGATCTAGGGTTTGGTTGGAGGAGTAGATCAATTTGGAGGCTCGTCTAGGGCTTCGTTTAGTGATAAAGGTGGGATCTTTTTGGTAAAGACTCTATCTTTTTAGTGTTTCGGGTGTCGAGGGTGGTACTTCTGGCGTGAAGACCATTCAGAGTTTGAATATCCACTCTATGAAGATAGATGTGGAGAAGTTTAATGGCACAAACAATTTTGGATTATGGAGATGCGAGGTTTTGGATGCGCTGAACGCGCAGAATTTGGAGGATACCTTGGAGTTAGATGGCAAGCCAGATGAGATTGAAGAAAAGATTTGGAAAAAGATGAATCGAACGGCGTGTGGTGTGATTAGATCTTGTTTGACTCAAGATCTAAAATATGATGTGATGAATGAGACTTCTGCGAAGAAGATTTGGGAGATTCTCGAAAGCAAGTATTTGACCAAGAGTGTGGAAAATCGCTTGCATTTGAAGAGGAGACTTTATCGTTTCCAGTTGAAGAAGGGAACCTCCATTAGAGATCACATGAACCACTACACAAAGCTTCTTGCGGATTTGGCGAATGTGGATGTCAAGATTGAAGATGAGGACAAGGCGTTGCTGTTGTTGAGTTCCTTGCCCGACGAGGAATATGAGACCTTCGTTCTTACTCTGATTAATGGGAAGGCATCACTTTCGTATAGTGAGGTCACTGCTGCACTTGTGAATTATCAGCTTCAGAAGAAGGATAAGGAGACTTCGACTGAGTCGGTAGCAGAGGCGTTGACCGCAAGAGGGAAGGGTCCAAACCGGAAGAATTGGAAGTCACAGTCTAGAGTAGGGCATCCTACAATTGGAAAAGCTCAGTGTGCTTGGTGCAAGGAGACTGGTCATTGGAAGAAAGACTGCCCAAAACTCGACGAATGGATGAAGAATAAGCAGAAGGGAAAAGGGAAGCAACCATCATCAGAAGCAAACATCGTATCGGATGGTAATAATTCTGACTCTTCTATTTATTCGCTTTCTATCAGTCCTACAGATAGCTATTCGGAGGAATCTGAATGGATGTTGGATAGTGGTGCGACCTATCATGTGTGCCCTAGAAGGGAATGGTTCTCCAGTTTTGAGAAGCTGGTGGATAGTGGTGTGGTGTACATGGCTGATAACCGTGCATGCCAGATCCTTGGGATAGGAAGAATTCACATTAAAATGTTTGACGGGACTGTTAGGGAGCTAAATGATGTGAGATATGTTCCTTCTTTGAGGAAGAACTTGATCTCGATTGCAGCTTTGGTTGGAGAGGGTCTGAAGGTTCATGTTGAGGATATGGTTCTCGAGATTGCGAGAGACTCTAGTATTTTGATGAAGGGCGTCAGGAGGAATAACCTGTATTACTTGACTGGAGGTATAGTGGCAGGTGGAGAATTGGCGACTTCTGTTGATTCGACTAGACTGCGGCATTTGGGGCTTGGCCATTCCAGTATTGATTCCTCGCATAGATTGAAAGAGGGTGTAAAGACCTGCAATTTGAAGTCCAGTGAACATGTTGATGTGAGCAAGAAGACCGAGGTGAAGTGTGGCACCTCTATTCACCGTGCTAAGGTCGTTCTGGAGGAGTTCACGTGGATGTTTGGGGGCCTTCCAAGGGGGCATCATTAGGAGGTAATAGGCGTTTGGTTTCCTTTGTTGGTGGCTGTTCTAGGCGTGTTTGGGTTGCAACCAAATCCCCTTTGGAGAAAGTCCTAGTAGTATCCAACAGATTGAAGAAGTGTGTAATAGACAAAAAGGTGAAGGTACTCCATTCTGGTGGGAGGTACAAGATGGACCTATTTCTGTATTAGAGCCGAGCTCACGGTATTTCGAGACACTTCGTTGGAAAGGAAATCTTGGGGCAACTAAATATGGTGACAAATTTGAAGAACCGTGCCTTACTGGAGGAGGATCGGTGTTTGTGGTCGAGTAATAGTTTGCAGAAGAGTTTCTGGACAGAGGCTTCAACATATTTGAGTCATCCTATTAAAGAGTTGTTAACTGTTGTGATTGGAGGTATAACTCTATTGGAAGATAGGTCTGATTGTGTCACTTTGGATGAGGCTTCTATAAGGAAGCCAATTGACTCTCAGCAGGTGGAGAGTTTTGGACAGACCTTAGAGGTATCACAGCGGGTGGAGAGTGATGCTACTCCACATGGGGTAAAGATTACTCCAGATCATTCTGCATTGGTTGGGATTCCAGCTGAGGTGACACAGCGTGGAAGTCATTTGGATTCGGATGCAGATGATGAGTTGGGTTTTGAATCGAGTGCAGCTGGCAGACATAGTTTGGATATGGTCATTGGTTCGCCTCGGGTGGAGGTGTTTAAGGTCATTGGAAGTGCTATCAGCCGTAGACTTGATTGTGATGTTGAAGAAGGGTTGCGAACTCTTCTAGTGAATTGAGGCCTTTGGAGGCCATTTGGGTGAACTACGTTCGGCTTGATTCCTTGGGCAAGAGGATACATAGGCAGTCTTTATGATGCAGCCGGGTTGAATTTTGATGGGGGTGAGATCGATTTGGTGAGTTGATACCAACATTTGGAGAGTGTTTGCATTCTCATTTGGATCTCGACTTGTTATGGATTGAGTCCGTTATCGTGAATTGTTTCATTTTGTACTGGACACAACAAGTGAGGCATTTGTTTTGGTTGGTGTCGGCTTAGTTTTGAGAAAACTTCGCCGAGGTGGAGAATTGTGAGCACGTGGGGGGGACCACGTGATTAGATTGGCTGGGGAAAACAACCGCGTGAGGAGATGGAAGTTCACGTGAAGCAAGTGATTGAGTAGGGGCCACATCTATAGCTTTATTTGTTTTTCGTTTAGCAGGCCCACCCGAAAGGAACATCCTATTAATACCCTAGAGCTCCTAGGTTTTCGTGTGCAGGAGGCGGTGAAAAAGGGCAGCAGCAAGGTGGATTCCCTTTTTTTTTGGCGGCTTTGTTTCTTGGAGAAAACGCAACAAAGAAAAGAGAAGAATAGGGATTTGTGTAGCTTTGGTGAGAGTATTTGCGTGAGAGAGAGATAATTGTGTGAGGGTTTAGATTGAGTGATTGTAAACCCTAGTTGTATCTCTCCCTCTAATAGTAGATCTCCCCCTCCTTGCCCCGTGGACGTAGGCAGTTTGCCGAACCACGTAAAATTAATTGTTTGAGTTTGTGGCCATTGTAATAGTTTTTAGGATCCCTCGACGCGCAGTCCTAGAGCTGACGAGAGGAAGAGCAAATATCACACTTTGATGGGATATTAGGCTTCAAATTCTTGTTCCCTTTGAGAAACAAGAATTCTTATCGATCTTTCTCTCATATTGTGTACCAGAAACTTTGTCGAAATTTCCGCTGCGCACAACACAAATTACTTTCATCTTCAAGGGATAGTTTTATGACTATGTAGCACGCTTCTCTTGTAGAACTCGTCTCCTGTACCAGAGTACTTCTCTTGTAGCACTCGTCTCCTGTACCAGATACTCTGTACTCACACGCACCCGCACACACATGCACTCACACACGGGCGTGTAGGCGTCTAAAAATGCCTATAGGTATCCACACAGCTCGAGACAGAGAGAAAGTGATGAACGCTATTATCTAAGTCTAAGGGGATTATCCGACGCCGACGAACACATGAAGCGAAACGGCAAACCGAATGGCATGTACGCTCATCGGCCACCTCCAAGTGGCCCGTGCACTTGTCAGCCAGCTCTAAGTGGCTCACGTGCTCACCGGCCACCACTAAGTGGCCCGCACGCTCATTAGCCACCAAATCGGCGAACCAAGTGACCCGCGTGCTCACCGGCCACCACCAAGTGGTCCACACGCTCATCAGCCATCAAATCAACGAACCAAGTGGCCCGTGTACTCAGCCACCTCTAAAGGGCCCGTGCACTCGTCAGCCACCTCCAAGTGTCCTGCATGCTCACCGGCCACTAAATTGGCGAACTAAGTGGCCTGCACGCCCGTCGGCCACCGTCAAGATGTCCATGCATTCACAAAATGAATCAGGGAAGCGTACAAGTCAACGAAACGACGAAATACGCGTAACAACGGAACAAGTCAAAACCCGAAAAACAGATAAAGCCCCTGGCGGCCGAGTCGCGCCAAAGCGACCCGGCCAGACCAGTGGCTCGGCCACGGGCCGAGCCACCAAATGGTGGCCCGGCCAAGGCCTTGTTTCGGTTTTTTTTAACGGGTTTTCTTGGGATTTGTTTGTTCCTGAGCGTCCTAACTGATCTGATACTGTGGTTAATCAGTTACTAACTGAAGATAAGGAGGAATCCCTCGTTCTTATCCAAATACCCGCTCCCGAAGCTTATAAATACGAGCTCGGGTGCTTATTTCTAAAGGGCTGTACATCAAGAGGGCGAAGCGCTGCCGAATTGGAGAGTGGAGCCACGAATTTACAGCAAGGGTTAGCGGATCTTGGCGATCTCATGCACATAAAGAGTGGAGTTCGAGAGATTCGAGACCCATCCCCTATTCCTCCGGATTTAAGCTTGGTCTTAAATCTCGAGAAGAGCCGTGATCTCGCTTGGTCGAGATCATCGCTACGGCGATTACTTCCTTCGTGAAGTAAGAGCTTTGATCACCAATCTGTCAACCGGATCTGATTTGTGGTGGTCTACGGATATTAATGTCCCCGACACAGGCAAAGTTCCCACGCAAGCAGCGGGTGATAAACGTCCGTTGCGCTGTTTGACAAGAGTTGTAATCTTTATTTTCATTGTATAAAGGAGATCTTATAAAAAGATCAACTTTTCTTTTCATTTGAGTTTATTGTAATGACCAAAGTTGTAATAGATTCGATGACAATGAAAACATCAACTTTTGACCCAAACAGGGCGTGTGTAAAATATGTGTGTGTATTATGTATATATATGTATATATATGCACGCGCGCACACACACACATCGTTTTATACTTAGGGGCTGTTTGGTTGCACACTTTTTGAGAAAACTTTTCTCAAAACATCTGACAATGACAATTTTATAATTAAAATTTTTCTATAGATTTCTATAAATTGTGTTTGGTTCAACAAAAAATTTACAGAAATATTTTCTATAAAATATCAAAAACTACCAAGTTTTAAAAAAAGCAATTTCCTCTCAAAATGAGAGGAAATCAATAGGAAATCTGATACCTTCCTTATTTAATCAGTAAAACCTGTCTCATACCCATTTTCCTCGGACGTGATATTTTCTCGAACCGCTTCTAGGGCGGAAATTCCCGATCTCCTTCCCGCCCCAAATCCATTCGTTCCCGCCTCGAATCCAACTGGGTTTGATCCTTCGCGCTAACTATTTAGGTCTTGTTCCTTCTCCCCTATCACCCCAGATCTAGGGTTCTCTCGTTCCCAAATCACACGCTACGGTTCCATCTCGTTTCCAAATCTCGCGCTAGGGTTTCTGATCTCAAGGCTCTCACGGTAATAAATTGGCTGCTTTTTTGTGTTTTAAGCTACTTTTGTTGTTTATAGTTAGTTTTTGAACCTGGACTTCGCTTAATTTGATGGTTTGTGTCGTCTTTTGAGATGGGTATTGCGTTTAATTTGAGAATTGTAGTGGCTTCGTTCACTCTTTTTCTCTTTTGAATTAGTTTTTTCAATTGGGTTTGCTTATTTTTTGCGATATGTAGTGCTTTTAATTTTGAACTTTAGTAAGCTTCTTTGTTGGCTTCAATTTGTTTTTTTGCACTTTAAGGGAAGCTAGGATCTAAGTTAATAATGAATCTAGATTGTGATCAATGTCGTTGTCCAATTTAAAGAATATAAATTCAAGATTATTGATTCATGGTGTTTACACTGGCAATAACGGCGAGCATGGGAGTGTGAAATTTTCGAGTAACTAGTTAATGAGTTCTTTGCCATGGAAATGATTGCTAAGCAAAAACCCTAAATTATATGGGTATGTTTTGATGGTGGTGATTATTAGTAAAACCTAAGTTTTAAAGAACCTTATGAATAATAAATATCAAAGAGGGGGAAAGTGCAATGGTTATATCTAGTTTTACTTTGTTTCTACTATTTCCTGATCATTATATTGGCATGAAATACGCTTGGGGTCAATAGTATATCTTCAAATGTATATGCTTGTTGTTGAGAAAACACAGTGAACCTCTCAAACATGCTAAAATAAGTCATTTCATTTACAATAATGATCCAATACTAAATTACAAGATATGATATTTTCCTTCAAATGGGGATGGGAAATAGTATCTGCTAAAGGAAATACTAACATCTAACAGCTTATTTGCACATATATGGGCCAAAGACCTTAAAACATAGACTTAACTATTTGACAAATGAATTCATTTCATATATACCAATGTGATATTTAATTATCCAAAGGCATGGCTAATAAATTCTAATAACAACAGAACATGCGCATAGTCTAAAGTTATTTTTGTTGCAATCTAAAACTAAAATCTTCTTGTGAATCTAAAATCTAAAAAAGACAGATTTTCTTCACGTTGTTCATGTATTCAATATCTAATGCCACATTATTAGGAAACTACCTAAAACAGCCATGAATGCAAGAGGTCCCCCTACACTCATGAGGATAAGCTTCCTTTTCCCTAATTAAAGCCATTTTACTGACAAGCATCTAGTTAACAAATTCACATATTCTAAATAAAGCACCTCCTAGTAAGAAGAGTTATTCTGTGTTCATGTCCCGTTCAACCTGACTAGAGTCCCTACACTTGGGGGGTGTTTGGCAATTCGAAAGTGAATTTAAAATATGTAAGTTATTTTTTTTTTTGCAAATAACTTTTACATCTCATGTTAGCACTCAAGTGAAATACAGTGTTTGTTTGAAAAATTAAATTATTATCGAAAGTACAATGTGAAGATGACGTGGCAAAATAAGATTAATTAGAAAGTATAATTAAAATCATCTAACTAAATTAGTTACTTTTTTTTATCACTTCCATGTGACTTCACCATTTTTTTAGGGAAAGTTAAAATTGCATTAAATCATACGTGGCAACTTTCTTGTATCTCACTTTCATAACCACTTACATGCAAACAAACAAATAAATCGTTAAATGAAAGTAACTTTCTCACTTTCATCTTTCACTTGCATGCAAACAAACACCCCCTTGGCTCCACTCATGTATTCTTGTGTAAGAAGATTTTGGTTCTTGATTTTTCATTTTTCATTTTTCATTTTTTGTCGTTGTTTATTGTTGTATAAACATCTTAAACTAATTTTGCTTTGTAACGAATGTAGATGGATGGTGTAGATGAAGAACAAATAAAGAGGATGTGTACTAATATGACTATATCTTCCGTGGTTACAATAATAGTTTGTTTATTGAGAATTCGTGCTAGGCACAAATCCATTTGTTATGCTCCAAGAGAGGACAAGATGAGGAAAATTTATTGTAGAAATGACCACTTCAAGCGCATCTTTGAAGGATATAGTGATAGTTGTAGGTCTTATATTAGAATGAGGCCTAAAGCCTTTTTCAAACTTGCGGATGTTATGCGAAATCATGGTTTTCTAAAGGACACAAAACACCTTCAAGTTGAAGAACAACTTGCTATGTTTCTTTATATAGTGGGTCATAAAACTAAAAATAGAGTAATAAGGACCGAATTTATAAGATCGAGTGAAACGGTTAGTAGGTACTTTAATAAGATCCTACAAGCTATGAACGGTCTTCGTGATCGATACATGAAGCAAACACCTAATGAGATTCCACCGGAGATTGTCAACAATCCAAACTATTTTCCTTACTTCAAGGTAAGAGAGAAATAAATTGTTGCGCACGTTAGTGATTTTCATAATTTAATGATATGAGAAACTAATAATTTCAATCATTGTCGAGTTTTGATAGGATTGCATTGGTATGATAGATGGAACACATATTGATGCAATATTACCCTCTAATCTAGTTGCACGGTTTAGAGGGCGTAAATGTGTAACGCAAAATGTTTTAGCTGCATGCACTCCAAATAAACTTTTCACATATGTCCTAGCTGGGTGGGAAGGTGCGACGAATGACTATAGGATTTTGTAAGACGCGTTGTCTAGACCACAACCTTACAGATTGAGAGTATATGATGGTATTCTTCCACCTCATTTAATAAATAGTAAATTAAATAATATGATCTAACTAATCACGAATTTTCCTTTTATAATGTAGGAAAATATTATCTTTGTGATGCTGGATACACTACCATGTCTGGCTTCATCTCTCCATACCATGGTGTTCGTTATCACTTAAAGGAACAAATTGGTAGGACACCCAGAAATAGTAGGGAGTTATTCAATTTAAGACACTCTTCTTTATGGTCTAAAATTAAATCAACCTTTGGCACATTGAAGAATCGGTTCACAATTCTTTCGGCGAAGCCTAATTACCCATTCCCCACACAAGTGGACATCGTCTTAGCATGTACTATATTACATAATTTTATTACAATTGAAGATCCACAAGAAGACATCTTGAATCAGAATGTACTAATTGATGAGGAGAATGAGGACGTGACAAACGAATATGATTCAAACGTAGTTGACTTCAATCAATCTAGGACACAAAGAGAGGAGCGTGATGCAAGAAATGAATGGAAGGACCTTAGGGATCAAATTGCATGGACAATGTGGGTTGATTATTGTGTAAAATATAAAGATGGCGACACCACAGAAATTGGCTTGTAGTTTTATTGTTTTCGCATATTTCATAATTGTGCTTGTATGAACAATATAATTTCTCATATTTAATTATGTTTTTTATTTCATAATTGCATTTGTATGAAAGTGAGCGTGAGGCTAGGAGGGTTTTTATAAAAACGAAGGAGGCTTGTTTGTTGGAAAATTTGATGTAAAAAGACAATGAAAGAAAAATTGACTTGTATTCCTCTCAAAATCAATTACAATTTGGATTCCGATTACAAAAGAGAGGAGAACAAATTTGATTCTCCCCTTTGTTTAAAACTGGGTTCTTCACGGTGGCGATGGAGTGCCTCCCTCGAATGCTCGCGTCGAGTTTGCTCTCCGTTGACGATCCGAATATCTTGATTCACTGGAACAATATCTTCTCCTCACGATTTGACGTTGTGGAGAACTTGCGTGGCAAGTTTGAAACTTTGGACGAGTTGATAACTCTGGACGAGTTGGGAACTCTTGAAAAAGAGTTGATTTGAACCGAGGATCGGTTCTCAAGCCAAGGCCGGAGGCTTCAAGGAATGCTCCAAAGGATGAATGTCGATCTCTCCTGTTGCTACCACGCCGAAGGGTTAATCCGAGCCAAGAAATTCCCTCATCACTGCCAAGTCCAAGATCCGAAAAATGCCAGCCTAAGATCTCTTCTTTGTTGCCTAAAAAAGAAGGATCCGAACTCAGTTGAGTTTTGAGGTATTTATAGGAGATTAAGGGGGTGCAACAGCCCCCTTAATTTGCTCCTCAATGGGCTGAGTGGGGGTGTAACCACCCCCCTCTTAAACAGCTCCCCAAATCGTGGGAAAACGGTCTTGAAACCGTTCTGTTAGTGCTTTGAACGAGTCAAAACGCTGAAAACAATGTTCTGGGCCCGAACTGTGTGTTTCTGGACCTGAAACGCAGAGTTAGGCCTCACAGTTGGGCCTGTTTAAAGGCTGAAAACGCACAGGTCGTGCTGTTTTAGAGATGAACTCTGCGTTTTAGGCTGAAAACGCAAAGTTGTGCCTGTTTAAAGGCTGAAAACGCACAGGTCGTGCTGTTTTAGAGATGAACTCTGCGTTTTAGGCTGAAAACGCAGAGTTGAGCCTGTTTAAAGGCTGAAAACGCAAAGGTCGTGCTGTTTTAGAGATGAACTCTGCGTTTTAGGCTGAAAACACAGAGTTGAGCCTGTTTTAGGCTGAAAACGCACAGTTGGGTCGTTTTAGAGGTGAACTCTGTATTTTAGGCTGAAAACGCAGAGTTAGGCCGTAACTCTGCGTTTTGATGTTATATCACAAGGATAACCTCTGCGTTTTGAGGTTATAACGCTGGTTCGACCTGTACATTTTGACTCTGTAATGCAGAGGCGAACCTGAGGCGGGCTTGGCGAGCTTCAAGCTAAGTCCAATTTTTCTAACGAAGTCTGGTCTTGCAGACGGACTTCAGAACATAATTTGCTACGAAGAACAGGTCATAACTTTCAAACCGTAAGTCGGAATTGGACGAATTATATATGAAAATCGGCTATCTCGACGAGACGGGGCCATTCGAACCAAGCCAAAGGCTTTGGTTCGCTTCCTCCGTTTCACCAAATTCCTTACGGTTTGAGAGATATATGTGTTTTAATATGAAGAGACCGTCAATTTGTAGTCTCTTTTGCTAGAGCTTTGCACAAATCGTCCTCTTGTAATCTTCGTCTTGGCTCTTTGAAAATATGAGAGTCGTCAGATTGTAACTCCCGATATTGATTATGAAGGCTGTTGAATTGGGGCTTTCATTAGTTGTTGTGAAGGTCGTCAGATTGTAACCTTCTACGTGAAAGTCCTCAAATTGTAGCCTTCCGGAAGTCGTCAGATTGTAATTTTCATCATCGGTGTTTGATGGGGGATCAACTATCTATTGTGATTTTTAGACAGCCTACAAGGCTCAGAAGAGGTTTCTTGCGAGTCTTGTTGCGGCTCAAGGATGAGACATGTCATAGTGTGTTGTTGTTCTGTGCACACAACACTCAATTTTGCTACTTCACATGTTTTGTTACTATTCCCTCACAAACTTATATTTTGTTAATTCCAAACTTTAGATGTTGCAATTCATGTTGCTATTTCCTAAATACCTACACTAACTTATATTTTGTGTATTGCAAAGTTGCAAAGTTGCAAAGTTGTTGATGTTGTAATTCATGTTGCTAGTTGTCTTTGTTTAGCTCTCGATTGTTGGGTTTTTTGGTTGAAATTTGTGCTCGTTGTCGAGCTACGATGCTGTTTTTCCATTTAATATGCTGATTCGAGCTTGTTTAGCTCTCTTTGTTGGGTTTTTGGTCGATGTTTGTGCTCGTTGTCGAGCTTTGGGGCTGTTTTTTTCCATTTAGTATGCTGATTCGAGCTTGTTTAGCTCTATATTGTTGGGTTTTTTGGTCGATAGTTGTGATCGTTGTCGAGCTTTGGGCTATTTTATCCAGTTTGCTGATTCGAGCTTGTTTAGCTCTGTATTGTTAGGTTTTTTGGTCGATATTTGTGATTGTTGTCGAGCTTTGGGCTGTTTTTTCAAGTTAGTATCCTGATTCTTCAAATTTGTGTTACCTGCACACAATGTGTTATTCCCGTTGATCAATTTGTAATTGCTCTACAACAGGTTCCGAAGCTTTTTAGATTATATTCAGTTTCAAATACAAGGTAGGATGCTATATGGAACTTTTGACTTTGATGACCAGCGTTTTAGTACACGATGGATCTTAAAGTTTTGGTATTATGCTGTAACATTAACTAGAATATGTATAAAAATATCCCGATCTGTGATCTTAAGTCTATGATAGCTTGATTTCGTAATTTTTGTATAATTATTTTTTATGTTTGGCAATTTGATTATGTGCTTGAGTTTGGACTGTTTTTGTATAATTATTTTTTATGTTTGGCAATTTGATTATGTGCTTGAGTTTGGACTGAATTGTTTGAATGTGTAATAGTTTTTGTGTTTATGTTTGGCAATTTGATTATGTGCTTGAGTTTGGACTGAATTGTTTGAATGTGTAATAGTTTTTGTGGTTACTTAAGTAAATGCTGCCTTGTTATCTTATATATTTCTTGCTCTAATTAAACTTCATTTATAAAAATCATATTGCTTTTATGTATGAAAATTATAGTCACAACAAAGTTCAATTTGCCTCAAACAATGCTGTTAGTTTTGGTATGCACTGTATCAAGCTTCTATATATGAAAATTATAGTCACGGGGAGAGAATTGACTAGCCTTCTTGGTGTCTCACCAAATTCTGACGTTACTACTTTTTGTGGTGGTGGTATTATTCTTCTACATTGTGAAGTTATTGTTCTATTATGCGTATAATAGCTAGTTGTTTATGAATTGTAGAGTAGTATTAATTTCGACTGAACCTTGATTTTTTACAAATGCATGCAATTTCAAGATAATCACAACAAAGTTCATTTCCCTTGAATTTATAAAACAATTCATGCATGTTGTCATGCTTCGGGGCAAGTTATCAATTTGTATTCGAGCATGTTTAGCTCTATCGTTGGTTTTTTATAAGATTTAATGATGTGAAAATTTTGTATATGTGCATAGCCATTAAAGTGATAAAGATGGTAGTTGATACTTTTCTATAAATTTGACATATGTAACCAAACAAAAGAAGAAAAAAATCTTGTTATTTTCTATAAAGTTATGAGCTATTTTATTGTTTTGAACCAAACAAGCAAAATACAAAAAATAAAAAATTGCTACTTTTTGACTTCTCAAACCTTTTCCTATAATTTTTTTGAGAAATAGAAGGAAATCATATTTTGGGTGGAAAACATTTCCTATAATTTCTAGAAAGTGAACCAAACACCCACTTAACCTGAGTTTAGGATGGTACTAATGATAGAATAGCCGTCTCCTCATTGGTTCAACTCATGACAATCATCCGCCTGCATTGATGAGCACACCTAAGAATGAGCATGTTCCTCTCCAATAGAGTACCAAATCGGATTTTTTTCCTAAAATAAGAAGATTTCATTTTGCTTTATCTGCTCTCTTCACGTTCAAGGCTAAACTGCCACTGCCCGTGCAGCAAGCTATAAATTACGCACCTGTATTTTCACTAGGCAACAGGCTGAATAAACCCTCTATCCTTCTGTTCCAACCTCTGAAGAGCTGACAGATATATTAAAACTCATTGCTACTTGCAAGTCTTGTATCATTTGTATAATAACAGTGACAATGTCAAATGAATATTATTGGCAAATCACGACTAAAAATGTCAAAAGAATATTATCGGCCAATCATATATAACGATTTAATGATAAGGAACCTTCTGACTAATCCTTTTGAAAACATGACAAACTACCAACAAGAAACTATAATGAAGTGTATGCAGAAAATTCTATGAACAAGTTGGTTGGATCCTTAGTATCAAAGATAGAATTCCTTGTTTTCTACTATGTATCTTAAGCGCATTTCTTTCATCCTGCAAATATGGAGCGAATCAGTCATAGTCAAGTTTTGAACTATGATGTCAACAAGAAATAGTGGCTTTTTTAGTTGAAGTTCTAATTTATTTCCTGTTATGGCTGGCAAAATGTATGCTTTCCAGTTCCTTTCTTCAGATATTTTCTGTTCACTGTTGAGAAATGCAAAGTGATTCCTTCTTTATGTTTTCTTAGTATGTAGCCAGTTTAGCTTCATCTTTTAAAGGTAGCTTTGAGCCATGTACGACACATCCTTCAGCAAAACTGAGTCCACACAGAATCACTAGCAGAAAAAATATCGCAGGCTGTGGGAGAGACGAATTCATTAAAAAATTAACTATTTCCAAATGTAAAAAGAACTCAATTTATGCTTACTGATTTCAGGATAGAATGATGATAAATAGTCATATCTCTCTTGGTTTATCTCCTCATCCAGACACTCAACCTGCACTTACAAGCTCGCTTACAAGCTACCCAATGACCATGTTCCTCTCCAATAAAATACCAACTCTAGTTTCTTCGTTGAAACGGAAAAGCTTTCATCTAGCTTTGTGTGCTC